AAGAGAGAAGCAAGTGGAGACGTGCATTTGAAGCCCTATGTTCCACTAGGAACCCAAGGAAACAATAATAATAATAAATGGATATGCATTGAGTGGAGTCACGCATGAGACAGTAGAGTGGAATTAGAATAGGCAACGATGAGATAGGCATCCGAGGGTGATGTGGAGGAGATCGTGTGTAGAAGAGATGCAAGGTTGTACGCAGTCGTGGTAGCGAATAAAACAGTACTGTAGAAAAGAAAATGAAGTGGAGATGTGCAGCTGAGAATAATAAAAGTATTCACCAACTGATAGTGACTGACTAACTGGTTTCAACAGAGAGCTGTGCACCGAATTGCAGCAGTTCGAGTCGCCACACTCCCTCCTTGTAGCACACAAAGCAAGAGAAGAAAGTAAAAAGAAACGCAAAATAGACACAGTAAACAGAGATATGAGGCAAAAAGAATAGTAATATCGAAGAAAAATATAGTTTTATTGGATATTCTAAGTCACAAGGAGTGGATGCATCTAACTCCGCCAGCCTTTGAGAACGATTTTGAGCCATATCACCAATTGTCTCCAGTCTCCATTGGTTTTTACCATCTCGAGGACCCAAACCAGTCAGGAAGCCCACACTTCCCTAAGTGGCTGGCTGACTGGCTTAAACTAACTGTTGTGGATTTCATTGACTGATGAAGCCATGTTTTGGTTTGACCACCACGTGCTAGCTCTTTTCCAACCTTATCCATCCCATGTCAGCTAACATCGCTCATCGAGGAAGGCGGTGGCTGGACATGTGCACGTAACACATGTCCTAACCATCTCAATCAATGTAACTTCATTACCTCGTCGATTGATTTTCCCTCCTTACCTAATACTCGATCTATGCCTAAATTCAATATTGCCCACTAACCTATTATACAACCACCTAACATGGGAGATAGAACTCAGACACCTATGATCAAAGACAGCCAACCAGCTAGCCTTTTAATGTCTTCCACTCTCAATGGCCATATCTCGTATCCATAAAGGAGGACAGAGTGGACTTCTGAGCAGTATACACATCCTTTAGTCGATAGCCTGACATTACGTCTACGCCAGTGATGGTGTAAACTGGCATATGGTGAGATTTCGTCAGTGATCAACCTGTTGCGGCTGATGCAACTTCCCAAATAACTGAGGTGGTCAACACGTTCATGAACCAATTCACTCTCTTTTTCTAAGCCAGGAGTGAGTCAGTATAGTCCAGTCAACAGGATCTGTAAGCCGTGATGAGTGTGACTGAAATTTTCGCGTTTTGGTATAGTTGATTTAGCGCAGCGAGAGTTGCGTAAAACTATACCTTAAAATGCTGACGAAGAACTAGATTGAACGCTGAAATTGTATGGTCTTAGGTATCTACCTGGCTTTGATTTGAAAATGTTCTATTAAGATATTGTCCAGCTTTGACGAATTTCCACTAGGTTCATAACTAGTGCCATCTTCTAATTTTACAATCAACCTGACACTTCCTATGGTGTATGGCAGATTTCAATCGAATTTCCCTTGAGTAAACACAGAGATGGGATGGAGCGTTGCATTTTTCACTTGTAATAACTTGGTAATTGCTTAGGTTCCTTCCCCTTGTGATGATGCTGGGTAGTTTCTATTTTTGTCCCGCTCAACATGAAGGTGGTCAACAGATTCTAGCCAATAAATGCTGGTGTATTATATGATTTAATCTCACAATATCGATTCTGAGAGTTCATTGGGTGTTCATTTCGATCCCTTCCTTATTATGTTTATCCCACCTGACCAGAAACATTTTGCATATACTAACTTCATTGTTGGCACCAATAGCAGTCAGCCATTCGCATTCCCCATATATTGGCAATCGATAGTCAGTCTTTCCACCTCGTTTTGTATTGGAGTAGTTGGCACGATACAGGCTGATGGAGGGGTGGTAATCTTGTGAACTAGCTGCCTGATTCCTATGGGACCAGCCTATCGCCGTTTCTTTCTTCAATTTTTAATAAATCTCTTGTGTGTCCTTGATTGTCTGCCCCCTCCGGGCCACACCACCATAGTGTAATGGAGGCATGAAGATGCATTGTTTGCTGCTATCACAAGATTCAAGATCAACTCTCGCGGCATCGAATCTACCCGTTAACCTTATTTTTGATTTCATACCAGTGCCAGAGCATGACAGCAGGAAGAAATGGAGATGAATTGGCGGTACTCTGAGATGACCATTGAATAAAATCACGCGAACAGGAAGGTATTCAAATGGGAATAGGCGATTTGGACTTGTCTCCGAAGATGACATCAAAAGGGATCGTGTGAGAAGGAAGCGAAAGCTTGCAGACAGTCATGAAGTCAGCTGTGAAAGTGATAACAAAGAAACTAGTGAAATGTTAACGTGTTGGATGAAGTCGTATGTTCAATTTGGTACTTAAACACTGACAGTGATGTATTTCTTTGTTAGATGTTCATGAATGATCCTCATCCAAGTATAAACGATAGAACAAAAGAACCAAGTAGTTGAGTGAAGAAGCCCAATTCGGCGAACTCATCTTCTATAACTGTACAACCTCATTTGTATTCAACGTCCTTCGCAAAAGGGAAGGTAGTTACAAAAGAGATGAAATGTTATAAACAAGATCGGTAATATTATTAATCAATTCATAAGAGAAGTTGGATAATGGGGATGGAGTTACGTAATCAAGTGCACTGTTGAATCAATGAGTCGTGGGATAGGTTGCACACGGAGATAAAGGAAATGTGGCATTACGTAGGAGCTCGAAATAACTGAAAAGTTACTATTATTATGATTTTAGAAGTAGTTGAAGAGTTTTCTTCTGTATACGAAACTCTAGTTTCTCTATCTGGATGGCTAGAGCACCAATAATGCAAAGGAGACAAAAGCGTATTGCCTTTGGTAGGTTGTTCTCCACTTCGAAGGAAAAAGCGGTTAGGACAGAGTTTCAGTATTGACTTGCTGTTCAATCATTACACTCCCTATGGAGCAGCTACTACCTACCATGCGAACCCTTTTAAACAAAAATGGCGTTGAACGACGAATATATCTGATTCCAGAGAAAGGGGTAAACTGACATATATGCACATAGAAGTGGTCGGATACGAGATCTTGATGTTCGGGCTTCTGCAGACCAGTGAACAACTGGAGACCACATACCTTAGCTTTACCGCTAAGATTTTTCTCCTGAATTATGTTGAGATACTTTTATTAAGGAAATAAAAATTCATGTAAAGATTCTCTATTGGCACGAGTGAAGTCTCATGCCATTGAATTTTTGTTCTAGTGTTCTTGTCAAGAAATCTTGATGGATGGATATCCATTTCAGATGAAGATTTCTCTCACCATAAGTTTAATTATTCTTCCTCCAAAGCGTCAGGGCTGCAGGTACTTTGGACACGAGTGGTAAGGGAGATAAATAAATTTCATTTTCTTTCAATGTGTACTCAGGTGTAGAAATTCGTCTGTTGCCAGTTGCGCTTTGGTTTCCTGTGCAGAAACCATCTTGAGGTTCCGTTGGCAACTGTTCGTACAACAACTTAACGCTTTTATTACCCTTCTCTTTTGCGAAGAAGCAGTATATAGACGCGATTGTACAGCTAAAGAAAGTGTGGTCGAGTGGTCGAGATCATTGTAGGATTCTATATGTCCCTGATGTCTATAAATTCAAGACCACACAAGAAAACTAACCAAAGTATATCTATATATATTCTCTAAGGAGAAGACACCATATACCGGAAGTCCAGAAATATCTTGCAATTTTGATGTAGTTGTGTTCCCTGAGTTAGCTGGATGGTTTCAGCTGTGAAGCTTTCATTGTTGTCCTACTGCTAGGCAACATCTTCAGCGCATACACTTCAATTTGAACTGAAGTGAGTGAGCTTTTTAGATTTCTCCACGAGTTTATAAGTCATCTCTCCTGGTGACCATCTTGAACGTGAACTAAAACATGGCTTCACCACCAGTCAATGAAATCCACAACAGTTAGTCTAAGCCAGCCAGTCACGTATGGAAGAGTAGAGTGGCTTCCTGATTGGAATCCTCGGAACAGTAAGGCGATTTTCTTTGTACTTTCCATGGGGGCTTTTGGAAAGGAAAGCACAAAGAAAGTCGTCTTACCATATATAAAGGATATCTCAGAAATCACTGCAAGACTCTTCAAACCTTTAGGATTTGACGTCGTACACAAACCAACAAAGTCACTTCACTCAATTCTATGTCAACCGAAAGACTCAACAGCGAAAGTAGATAAAACCAATATCATCTACAAGATAAATTGTAACAACTGCGAAAAACACTACGATGGCCAAAGTGGACGTCCCCTTCGTCTTCGTATCCACGAACATAAGCTAACCGTCAAAAGACATGACATCCACTTCCTCATCTCACTACATACAGACAAACATGGACATCAATTCGACTGGAACAACGTTCAAATATTAGACAGAGGAAACAACAAGAATGCTAGAGAATTTTTAGAAGCTTGGCATTCCAGTGAATCGTTAATCAATAGACACATCGAGATAGACAAAATTTATCAACCGATAAGAAAGAAACCTCACACACAAAGGGTCAAAGTTCAAGTCAAAGAAACAATGAGAGGCAATACAAGTAACCTAGAAGGTGTGAAAACACACAAAAACAACCAATCACGTCCAAGGTCACCAGGAGAGATGATTAATAAACTCGTGGAGAAATCTAAAAGCTCACTTCAGATTGAAGTGTGCGCTGAAGATGTCACCTAGTAAGGTGATGAAAGCTTCGCAAATCAACTATCCAGCTCAGAGAACACAACCACATCAAGATCATCCATCTGAGCTACAAATCTCCTCTATCATAACTATTGAGTCATTTATGACGCTAGTCTGATGTAAATCAATTAGAGTTATTTAACTTAAACAATAGTGTAGCCAATCAATTCAAATAATAAAGAGAATAAAATCAATACCTGTAAAATATATTTTAAAAACTTCCCATTGAATTATTCATATCATTCGTCTTCTTCTTATTCTTCACGTTGTTTACCATGATGATGATGATTATTTGTAATAAATTTCTGATTATCAGAATTAAGAATAATACGTTCATATTCTTGATGACGTCTATATAAATCTTTATAGGCGAGACATACACGTTCATATTCTGTTATCGATGCCACATTCGTCCTTTGGAGAGAGAAGAAATTAAAAAGAAAAGAACACATATGGAATTAACGATGAAATAAACTTTCCGTAGATTTTCAAGTATTGGTTTTTCATTATAGGGATTTAGTTCGACTGGTTGGAGGATTTCATCATGAGATGACATCGGTTAGAGAACCACTGAGAAATCACCAGGCTGGGAGTACAGCCAGATAGCTGTTTCGTCAGCCTAGTTTGGGACTAACCCTTCAGCAGTACGCACCCACCATAGGTGGTTCGAACCCAGGACCTCCTGGTTACAAGGCTAGCAAGCTCGTAGACCATTAACCCACCGGGACCCACTCCAATGGCTAGTCCATTAATTCCAACTTCTGCCGATTCATGACATAGTGCGACCATTTCTCAATGTCTTCTTTTATGAGTTACTGCCTCACCTTCAACCTGCTGCACTCTACTGTCTCCTAAAATGTGTAGTTTTTCTATATAGCGTCGTTTTTATGCTACCATCTGTTATTCTTTGTCAAAAGACAAATTGATGGAAACCAATACATATTCAAACAGATATTTGAATTTTCTTTTTAATTATCTTATAAGCATGAAAGTTTCAATAGCTTCAAATCTGAGAGACAGAGCTAAATTCCTTACAGTCAACAATGATTATATGGAGATATAAGAATAGAACTTGTGCACTGTGGTAGAGTATAGTTCCATTGTGGGCAAAATTTTATTTTGGTAAAGTCTTACAGTGTAAAACAGAAATATTTACTGATGACCACGTTTCGAGCATAATTTATTGCTCATAACCACATCAAGGCACTGACACAACTTTCTAACTTCGTTTATATAATTCCATCATTATTTTTCATCGCTTGACTTGATGATTGGTAATAGTATTTTCCATATTTCCGGTATGAGTGATGAGTTAATTCTGTTGCACGTGTTGGGTGTAGACTCGATGAACAAGGATTCAGTAATCAATCTCCCTCCCGTTATCCACTTACCTATACAACTTTTTAGAATTTCGACTGTCCCACCTACCCTATTGTGTGGTTGTGTGTTAATCCATGCAAGCAGTGCAATTGCTGAGCATTTTTCTAAATTACTTATTTTCGTGGGGGCACTCATTCTAGGCTGAGCTAAATTCTTATGTTCTGACAATCTGACTACCCCTGACCTACTAGTTTGACCTATGTAGTTGACCTCCCTCACAGTCATTGCAGGGTATTTTGTAAATTATATTATTTTGTCTAATTGGGTCCACTGGGTCCTTTAACCTACAGAGCTTATCCTACCTGAGTGAGTTTGTAGGTTTGAATGCCACCCTAATTCCTGCTTTATTGAGAATCCTATGTAGGAACTCAGATTTCCCCTCTTTATATGGTATAACTGTAGATGACTTATGTTCTCTCTTATTTGTGTTATTATTACTAGTTTCACAATTGTTTTTATTTTGCTTTTGGCCTTTTTCAATCTTCCTAATGAATTTTAGAGGATAGTTATTCAACACCAACGCTTCTTCTATCTGTTTCATTTCGTCATTTAGGTCTTTTCTTGTGCTACTTAGTGCTACTGCTCGGTTTGTTAGACACTTAACTAAGCCAGCCTTTACAGACAACGAACGGATGAGATGAATTAAAGTCTAAATATCTATTAGAATGCATTGGCTTTTTATAAACGCCAGTTTGCAGTTTACCTTCTTCTATTCGTTTTATTTTACAATCTGACATCATGGCTAATTCTTTTTGCTCATTTTTCGATTCAAATGTGAATTTTATTCCCTCCACTAGTGAGTTTATGTGTGTCAAGAAGCTAGAGATATGTTCTGTTTTTAACACTGTGAAAGTGTCATCCACATATCTCCACCATATTTTTGGAGTAGGATTAAATGTATTAAGGGTAATATTTTCCCAGCTGTCCATAAAGATATCTGCTAAGATCAGGGATATCGGTGATCCATCCCATTGCTACGCCTTCTGTTTGTCTATATATTTTGCCTTGGAATTTAAAGATAGTATATGTGAGACAGCATAACTGAATTCCTAAAATAATTTATTTAAACGGGCAGCTTTGTCCTTTGAGTGAGTTCAGGATTTGCAGTTAGTTCTTTTTAACTGCTTCTAAGGCTGCCATATTGACTGGTATATCAGTATAAAGACTAGTTATATCAATACTAACCATTGTTTCATCATTATCTAGTTGAATGTCATTTAGTTTATTTTTCATATCATATGAATTAGTTAGTCTAGAATTTGAACGATTTCTAATGGGGCATAATATTAGAGCTAAATGTTTTGATAATTCATATGTAGGAGTATTTCTAAAATCTACTATTGGTCTTATGGGATAACCTGGCTTATGTATTTTAATAGTACCATACTTTCTACTAGCATTATTAGTTTTAGGCATTAAATTAAACCATTTTGACTCACCCAGTGACGGCTTCATTCTGCGTACTAATTCCGCTGTGGATTTTTTAACCTTATTCATTATTGTATCTACGGGCTTCTTAATTTCCTCATATGGACCCGTCTCAGTATGTTCAGTGACTTTCTTGATATAATCAGATTTATCCAAAACTACTGTAAAGCTTTCTTTGTCAGCTTTTGCAATGACAATGTTTTTATCCTGTTCTAGACTCATTAGAGCTAGTCCTTCCGGTGTTTTTAAGTTTGATTTTACTTTCTTTTGATTTTTCAGGGTTAACGCACGTTGTGCTCGAACCTCTTCTGCTGTCGTCCAATGTATTGAACTTAATGATACATCACAGGAATGTCATCTTCAGGTTTTAATTTACTAACTGTTCCGTTGAAATTTAGTCCTTTCTCCGTCGATCGATTGGACCTAAGTGCTCGGTCTAAGTTGAATTATATAATTAATAAGATATGTTGCACAAGAGGTGGAACTTGTGGCTCAAGTGGTCCAGTGGATAGCACTTTGGTGTTTTACACTATGGACCCTGGGCTCGAGCCTCAGTGCGGGGAACACCATCGATACTCAATCAATGGGGAATGCAGATACATCTATCCAGCTGACGAGCCATTCCGAAACGGGACGAAGTGCACATTATCCTGGATTCCACTGCTAGTCATTATCCACCAAAATGAACTGCTTTTATCCTGCAAGCAAGTTCGTTCTCACTTTGTGAGAAAATCGATAACCTTCATTATGAAATTAAAAAAAATATGTTTGTATAGTTGTAAAATCTTACTTCAAATTGATGTTTTCTTCACGTAGTTTCTCGATTTCAGATTCGAGGAAGTTGATTTTCTGTTTAAGAAGAACTATTCGAAGGCATAATGTTCGTTTTTTCTAAATAGAAGTAATAGTTTAAAAAATTTTTTTAAATATAATACAATTTAAAGAAATGTAACTATACAATAGATCCCAAGATTACAAAGTTACCTTCATCACAAACTGTAGCAAAAATTAAGAAGCATTCAACAATTCCTTCATTTTATTTATTTTATGACTCTTTAGCAGCCTGCATGCACAACTCCATAAGTGATGTAACACGGAACTATCAGGTTATCCGAGAAGTATATCACCACCACTCACTTGCTTGGTTTCTAAAGTGCTCGTCTCGTTACACAACCTTTTCTATGTCCTGTCATTCATGAAGAAGTCAGCTGATATCATTGAGTAGTTCTTGTAGGCGTAAATCATTTCTATAATTGATTAGCTTGCAGATTTCATCGTAATTCAACATTGGATGTTGACGTCCATTGTTTAAAAGTGTGTGATCAAGCGTCCGTGCCATTTAGTAAGCTGTCGTGTTACGTTTGGTTGTTTGTGTACGCAGTCTAGCTAGTTTAATTGTCCTCACTGATCCACATTTCTGATCCAGAAATATATTTCGTGATTTTTGAACGATCAGTTTATTTTGTTTTGCATTGGGAGCTTGTTATGACCGAAACTACGACCCAGTAGACTATGAACGAATACTAACTTAATGCACTGGCTAATCTGTCCTAATCGCACGTCAACAACAATAACACCACTGGATCGCAAAGACAGAAGAAAAGACTGGACGTTGATAAGAGAGCTTTTAGCGTCTCAAAACAACAGTCAAAAAAGGTTGACAGAGCTTGCGTATATATGTATGTGTTTTAAATGACCTTGAGAGGCACTAATGACATCGACAGATTAAACAGTGAACAACCAATAGGATTTCATAGGTCATCAGTAGCGTGAGAGAAAATTTATTTTCAAGTATTGGTTTTGTAGGGATTTTGTTTGATTGCGTGGAGGATTTCATCATGAGCTGACATCAGTTAGAGAACCACTGGAAAACCTGGGAGTACTGGACAGCTGTTTCGTCCTAGTTTGGGACTCATCAGCAGTACGCACCCACCGGGATTCGAACCCAGGACCTTCTGGTTACAAGGCGAGCTCGTAGACCATTGAGCCACTGGGACCCGATCCAATGGTCCTTGAATTCTAACTTCTGCCAATTCACGACATAGCGCGACCATTTCGCAATGTCTTCTCAGATGAGTTACTGCCTCATCTCCAACCTGCTGTACCCTACTGGTCACGGCTTCCCACTAGAACCCCAGGTTAACTGCCTGAATAGGGCCAGTCACTAGTGAGCATTAGATTAATTTTCAAGTATTGGTTTTGTAGGGATTTTGTTTGATTGCGTGGAGGATTTCATCATAAATCATAAATCAATAAGTGGGGTGAGAGAAATACAAACAGACATGTAAAAATGATGTATAGACATTTAGGTCTATGTATCATAGTTGGAGGATATACACTTGCGATAGCATATAGTGTATCATTCGTACTCACCGACATCCTTCTACCTTCTATATCCTAACTGGGGATAAAAATAGTTGTCAAAAGTTCCATGATTTTCAGTGATTTTATATCAATCCCTTATTCATTTTACGTGAATATTAAACGCAGTTTTATAAGCTAAACAACCTTAAAACCTTAGTTGCCTCTTTTGAGCAAGACTTAAAGGTATGCAGGACAATAATAATAATAATCATATTCAAGAGCTGGTTTTTAAGGATTAAATTTGTTTTTTTTTACGAGTTTGACCACGGATTGATATCAGCTGGAGAACCATTGAAAACTGCCAGGAAGTACTGGATAGCTGTTTCATACTAGTTTGGGAATCATCGGCAGTACGTGCACACCACCAGGGTTCGAGCCCAGGAACTTCCGGTTACAAGGCAAGCTAACTCGTATACCATTCAACCAATGGGACCTGACTCCCCAATGGTCAGCCAGCCCATGAATTCTAACTTCTACCAATTCGTGATTTAGCGTGACCACCAACCAATGTCATCGGCGGGACATCCATCCTCACACTTGACTGATCGGACCTCACTGACCACGACTTCTCACTAGAACTCCAGGAAACTGTGTCCTGTAGCAAGTCCTTAGAAAGCATCAGAATTGGTAGGGCATCACGAATTGGTAGAAGTTAGAATTCATGGGCTGGCCAATAAATCGGGTCTCAGTGGCTGAATCGTATACGAGCTTGCTGGCCTTGTACCTGGAAGGTCCTGGGTTCGAACCCCAGTGGGTGCGTACTGCCGATAAATCGCAAACTAGGCTGATGAAACAGCTACTCAGTAATCCCTGGTAGTTTTCAATGGTTTTCTAACTGATATCAATCCGTGGTCAAACTCGTAAAAAAATAATAATTGCAACACTGAGAAAGAGATGAATATTATATTACGTATAACATATTCAGCTGATGAGGAGAACTCCTGCAGTCAGATGAACTTTAAACACTTAGTCTACATTTCTTTACATGCAACAGTCAATGACTGTATGGAATAGTGATAGGTCTTGATGAAGCAATTAATCGTTTTTTTTCAAGGCAGTCCCACTTTCCCTTACAATAAAATGTCACTGTAGACGGTGGACAGGCGTAAACAGAACATAAACTAACCCACCTCAAAACGATAACATTTGACAACCTTCTCAACTGACCACCTAACTGTTATACATAAGGCTGTAAGCCTAGTTTCTATACCGGTCACTTATTGGTGTCACACAGCACAAACAGTACAACGGAGACAGCGTTGATTAGTCACCTAAAGTTCTTCTGAATCTCCCTCTTCCTTCCCCTCCTCCTATGTAATCGTGTAACAAAATCATATAGTTGAATGTAGAACTCTCCTTTCCAACTTGTAAGAGTTTCCTTGTCTTATTATTATTATCATTGTTCCCTTGGCTTCCGAGTGGGACATAGGGCTTCAACTGCACGTCTCCACCTGCTCCTGTCTTCTGTTGTACTTTTCACCTACATCCATGTTAGTCCATACTGTTTCAACTCCCTTTCACACAATCTCCTCCATGTCACCCTAGCACTGACATCCCACTCGCCACTTCAGTTTCGAGTTCCACTCGAGGGCCTGACGCGCGATGTCACCCAGTGGCCTCCTCAGCGAGTGTCAAATTCATCTCCACTTTCTCCTGCATATTTGTTGAGTGATTGGTTCTTGTTTTGTTTGTTCCCATAGTTTCTTGTTGATGATACTTTCCGGCGGCCATCTGATCTTCAGTATAGAAGGAAGACAGTTAGTTGTTGATAAAGGTGTGCAACAGGCTGTTGGAAATATTCTTTGTGACACATTGGCCAAGTTTCTGATCCGGATAGAAGAACTGACTGACTGATGTTTGTATTGAAAATCCGAATTTTGTTGTTGATGCAGGCTGAGTGACGAAGATTTTCAGATTGGTTTCAGGTTGATGAATGTGTTTCTCGCCTTTCCGATTCTCGATTTGACATCCTCGTCCGTTCCTCCTGTAGTTGAGACAATGCTCCCTAGATAAGTGAATGTAGTAACCCCTTTCATCAAATCCCTCCCGTTGATGGTGATTGGCGCTGGATGTTGATGCTGCTGTTGTTGTTGTTGGTTGGTTATTTTCATAACCTCCGTCTTGTCTATGTTCACCTGGAGTCCTGTCTTTGCTGCTTCTTCGACCAGTTTGTTGGTTTTCGCTTGTAATTCTTCGATTTTGTGTGACATCAAACATAAATCATCCACGCGCCAAATCCAGGTCTTCTAGATTCTTCACGTCGGTCCAGGATATCCCTGTCTTCTCGTTTCCCACTGTCTGACGCATAATCCAGTCCAGTCCACCACAATTAGGAATATCATTGGTGATAATAAGCACCCTTGTCTGACTCCTGTGTTTACTCCAAACGCCTCGCTGAGTTTTCCGTTTTGGATGACTTGACATGTGCCGTTGTCGTACAGCTGTTGAATAAGGTTGATGAATATTTGGGGTACGCCGTAGTACTCGAGTAGTTTTCAAATTACTTCGTTCCTTGTCTTAATTACTGAAATGTTGATAGTACAATAAAATGCATAGTTCATTAGCTGATTTCTCCCCAAGTGATAGCTAAATCCTTAGAAAATTTCTAAACTAACCAAAGTAATATGAAATAAAGAATCACTGAGAACCGAGGAGTACTGGGCAGCTGTTTGGTTCTGTTTTGGGACTCATCAACAGTGTGCACCTGCGAATGCATCACAGGTAACGAGACTATGTGTGATGCAGCTGTACCGCCAATCAATATCGTTGATAAGCATCCCCTTCACCCTGATGCAGTGGAGCCCACTGGCCACATCTTTTACTAAGAACTTTAGAACATTCAGCTAGTAGGCGTTATTAAGCTCCACAATGACACCTGGATTATGGATTTTGTAGCAATTTAGAATGATTCAAATTTAGATTTCGTCGTGAACTAGCATCATTTAAGGAACCATCCTTTTGGTGCGCGGCTGCATCTTCTCTGGAATCGGTCTAAATCCATACAACACATATCATCTGAAAACTGGAATAAGTTTCTTCTTTCTCCACGAACCTAAAGAGTTTTGACCACACTGACATACACACAGTGGATTGGGGCGAAATGGTCTATATATTCTAACTTTTATTAGTTTTTCGTAATTGTGTGTGTGTGGTTAACTTCTGACCTGACTCCATAGCTGATATCACCTCCAGTGGAAAACATTCAAATTATTCAATCATTGTATGACTGAGAAGACTTTTGCTTACAGGATTTCATCATGAGCTGACATTGGTTAGAGAACCATTGGAAAACCAGCAGGGAGTACTGGACAGCTGTTTCGTCCTAGTTTGGGACTCTTCAGTGGGAAGCAGTGACCAGTAGCGTGCAGCAGGTCGGGCGTGAGGACAAATACTCGCAAAAGACATTGGCTAGGGGTCGCACTATGTCGTGAATTGGCAGAAGTTAGAATTCATGGGCCATTGGATCGGGTCCCAGTGGCTTAATGGTATACGAACCCGCCTTGTAACTAGAAGGTCCTGGGTTCGAACCCCGGTGGGTGCGTGCTGTGAAGAGTCCCAGACTAGGACGAAACAGCTGTCCAGTACTCCCAGGTTTTCCACTGGTTCTCTAACGAATGTCAGCTCATGGTAAAATCCTGTAACCAATGAACCAAATCCCTACAAACCAATACTTGAGAAGACTTTTGTTGACGTAATCGATGATAAATAAAACTCTGGATGACGGCGAGAATCGAACTAGCGGTCTCTTGATTACTAATTCAGTGGATCACCAAGTGATTTGAAAAAACTGTACAATAATTTTTTACTTTATTTTCTCAGCTTACCTTACGCGCATCATCTACATAACGTTGCATATTATCCCGTATAGGGGTCGGTTGTATACGATCTGAAGTTTTTCCGTTCTGTTGTGATGCAATAGAAGATTTTGGATGTATTGATGACTGATTAATCTTTTCCATAATTGATTTTGCATGCATCTGTATAAAGTGTAGAAAGGAAAAGAAAACAAGAATAACTGGATGACGAGGTTTCAAGCACAATTGATTACTGCTCATAATCATATCAAGGTACTTTCTTACTTCCTTTATATAATTCCATTATTTTTCATTTCTTGACTTAATGACTGGTAGGAATATTTTCCATATCTCCCATTGCACGTGTTGGTCGTAGACCCAATGAACAAGGATTCAGTAATCAATCTCTCTCTATCTCTACCTACCTATATTACTTCTTAGAATTTTAACCCTCTCCCACCCTATTGTATGGTTGTGTGTTAATCCATGCAAGCAGTGCAATTGCTGAGCTTTTATCTAAATTACTTATCTTCTCGGATGGGGTCAACCATTCTTACCTCAGCTAAATTCTTATGTTTTGATAATCTCACTACTCATGAGATTGATTGAGTGTGTTGACTACTTCACTTGTTATTTGGGAAGTTGTATCAGCCAACAGCAGTGGGTTGACCGCTGACAAAATCGCAGCACAGATACAGGAGTCTCGTTTCGCATATGTCAGTTAACTCCATCTCTGACTTACTAGACGTGATATCCGGCTGGCTATCGACCAAAGGGCGAGTGTACTGCTCAGCAGTCCAATCCGTCCCCCTTTATGGCTGTGAGGGGGACATGGTCATTGAAAGTGGAAGACACGAAAAAGCCGACTACCTGTTTTTGATCATAGATATCTACGTTCTATCTCCCCTGTGTGTGAAGTGGTATAATAGGGTGAGCAATATTGAGGTTAGGCATCAGTCAAGTGCCAGCTAAGGAAAGGAAATCAATCACCGATACTGTGAAGTTTCGTCGATTGAGATGGTTAGGAAATGTGTTACGCATGCGTGCCTAGCCATCGCCTTCCTCGACGTGCGATGTTAGCTGACATAGGATGAACCACGTTGGAAAATAGCTAGTGATGGTCAAACCAAAACGTGGCCTCATCAGTCAATGAAATCCACAAGAGTTAGTTTAGGCCAGCCATCTATCCACTTAAAAAAGTGTAGGCGTCCTGACTGGTTGGAGTCCTCGGTATGGTGAAAACCAATGACTGGAGGCTCAAAATCGTCCTGCATGGCTGCCACAGATGTATCCACTCCTTGTGATTTATAGTATTTCATAAAATTATGTTGTTGTTCCATATCACTATTCTTTTTGCCTCATATCTCTGTGTTGTTATCTCTCTCTGTCTTTACTTTCTTCTACTGCATTGTGTGCTACATGGAATGTGGCTATTCGGACTGCTGCACATCTGTGCAGAGGTCTTTATTGAAATTTCTTTATGGGTAAATTTTGTTTTGATAAAGTCTCACAGTGTTATACAGTAATGTTTACTGATGACGTTTCGAGCAAAATTTATTGCTCATAATCATATCAAGGTAATCACATGACTTCCTAAATTCATTTACATAGTTCCATTGTTTTTCACTTGATTTGATTGGTAATAGTCTTTTCCATATTTCGGGTGAGTGATAAATCATTCCTATTGCATGTGTTGGGTGTAGATTCGATGAAAAAGGATTCAGTAATCAATCTCTCTCCACCTACCTAGATTACTTCTTAGAATTTTAATGCTGTCTCACCCTATTGTGTGGTTGTGTGTTAATCCATGCAGTGCAATTGCTGAGCTTTTTTCTAAATTACTTATCTTCTCGGGGTCAACCATTCTTACCTTAGCCACTAAATTCTTATGTTCTGACAATCTGACTACCCCTGACCTACTAGTTTGACCTATGTAGTTGACTTAACTCACAGTCATTGCAGGGTATTTTGTAAATTATATTATTTTGTCCAATTGGGTCAACCGACAGGGTCCTTTAACATTCAGAGCTTGTCTTACCTGAGTGAGTTTGTAGGCTTGAATGCCACCCTGATTCCTGCTCCATTGAGAATCCTATGTAGGAACTCAGATGTTCCCTCCTTATATGGTAAAACTACTCTAGATGTCTTATATTCTTTCTTATTTATGTTATTATCATTATTAGTTTCACCACTATTTTTATTTTGACCTTTTCTGATCTTCCTAATGTACTTTACAGGGTAGTTATTTGATATCAGCACTCCTTCTATCTGTTTTATTTCATCATTTAGGTCTTTTCTTGTACTACTTGGTGCTACTGCTCGGTTTGTTAGACACTTAATTAAACCTGCCTTCAAAGATAGATAACGGATGAAATGAATTACAGTCTAAACATCTATTAGAATGCGTTGGTTTTTTATAAACACTAGTGTGCAGTTTACCGTCTTCTATTCGTTTTATTTTACAATCTAACAAAGCTAATTCTCCTTGTTCATTTATTCCCTCCACTAGTGAGTTTATGTGTGTCAAGGAGCTAGAGATATGTTCTGTTTTTAACACTGTGAAAGTGTCATCCACATATCTCCACCATATTTTTGGAGTAGGATTAAATGTATTAAGGGTAATATTTTCCCAGCTATCCATAAACATATCTGCTACGATAGGGGATATTGGTGATCCCATTGCTACACCTTCAGTTTGTTTATATATTTATTGAAACCAGTCAGTCGATCAGTCAGCTTAATATTGGCTGGTAAACTAGGTGAAGCTTATGTGGATACGTCAGTTGGGGATCGATCCCTGAGCTACGCACATGTTAAGCGAAAATTCTACTACTAAACCACCAAAGAACTTGAATGTATTCAGAGAATTAGATAATCGAGTAGTAAATTGGTAAACTTATTAAAAGCAAAAAAAAATCGATACCTACCTGAAATGTTTGCATTTGATCCACTTCTAAATTTAAACGATCTGATATACTTGACACTTTATTTTCAAATTCATTTATATGCAGCAAAAAGTGTTTTTGAAATAATTTAATAATTCGTTGTAATTTTTCCTCTTCTTCATCGCTGTTGTTTTGTGTGCTGATTACATCACCGTTCCCAGGCAACTGATTGGTACACGTCAATCGACTATGCAGCATATCCAACTCATCTTGTAATTCTTAAGATATTCAGTGATAAAAGGAAAGGGAAAATCGATAAATTTAATTGGTAACAGGAATTCATTATGAGCTGATATTGGTTAGAGGACCATTGGAAAACCACCAGACAGCTGTTTCGTCAGTCTAGTTTCGTACTAACCCTTCAGCAGTAAGCACTCACCACCAGGGTTGAAACTCCCGACCTTCTGGTTACAAGGCGAGTGAGCTCGTAGACCTTTAAGCCCCTGCGATCCGATCAGATGGTCAGTTCATAAATTCCAACTTGTGCCAATTCACGACATACTGCGACTGACACTAGCGAATGTCATCGCCGACGAGTACTTTTCCTAATGGCCGACCGGTTGTACCCTCCCTAGTGGTCACGAATTCCCGCCAGAACCCCAGGAAACTACCTACCTGAAAAGGGCCAGTCACTAGTTAGCATCTTATTGATATTCAAGTATATAAATTAGAAGTAGTGTACCTTTCGTGCGGCTTAAATAAATCAATAAAACTGAATGTTCATAAAATTGCAGTTCCTCGGTGACAACATCAGCGAAATAATAACACAGCGCCTGAAGAATGCAGTTAAAAGAGCTTATTATGCAGCAGAGGTACGTTGTCTCTTCACAACCAACCCTATTCTATTTTCGAGAAATAAGGATAAACTATCTGAATTTGCCTCCTCCTCTATGTGTATCTACCAGTTTGACTGCAGCTGTGGAGCCAGCTACATTGGGCGTACAATTAGGCAGGTTCATCATCGTATTCCCGAACATCATTCAACATGGTTAAGAAAGGGACAAACAAGATCTATTCGTAGCTCTATTTTAGCATACCTTGTAGATAGCGAGGTTGACGTTAATATAAGAATAAAACTTGGGCACTGTGGTAGAGTGTAATTCCATTATGGGTAAATTTTATTTTGATAAAGTCTAACAGTGTTATACAGTAATATTTACTGATGACGTTTCGAGCACAATTTATTGCTCATAATACAGCATTTAAAATTACTTATCGCATTCCGACTAATCTTAAATTTGCTCTACGAGTTTGTCTTCTACATACAGCTGAAGCAATCGGAATCCACCTGAAGAAGCCAGGCAGACCTGTGTGTTCAGAAGAAATTTGCACAGCCACTTTCCTTACCTTGGCCATCGTTACATGAATGTATAAACCGGACTACTTCGCTCCCCTCCCCCCAAACATTTAAAAACTATAATTGTCCAAATTATTTTATTTTTTCTGACCACTTCATCTTTAATTACGTGTTATCCTTGTAAGATTAATTTATTCTAACCATTTCTACCTCTTAAATGTGCATTGATTTTCTTCGTTAATTATCACCCCATTGACATGTTGACACTGACTAATTATTGTTAACAAACATATCAGTGCCACTTGATTGGTAAACCGTTGTGTATTGTAATAAAAATGCTATACGTGTATATTAGATTAGAGCCAGAGATGAAGATCTTATTGAAAAGTAAATATTTCTTCGCTCAATCTTTCTGTTTTCTAAAACTGAATGAACTTAATGTTAACTAGATAAACGTATAGCTCGCCTGCGAATGCCTTAGATGTTTTAAGTTTTGTTTGAATGAGTGGTGCATCCCACCAGACTGGCGTGGGACTGGACCCTAGTTTGTGTTTCTTCTTTGTGCTGGTGACACGCACATCCTCAGAGTCTTTAATTCATTCATACTAGCCAGATAAGTTCTAAACTCTATTACTCCCAAATAACCTTAATATTTTATTCTATTGCTTGAGTGAGAGCATATTTCTGAATAACTGAGTGTTTCTTATGTGTGTTTCATGATCAATATTTCGAGCTCAGTTAGTGTATTATTATGTTATTATTATTATCTTTCTTAGTTCCTGGAGGAATATAGGACTTCAGACACACGTCTGCATTGCATTCGGTTCTCCGCCAAACGTTTTCACCAGACTCCACGTCTGCCAACAGATAGTGTAGTGAAGGGTTATTTTTTTCAGCTAAAAATAGTTTAACATAGTGCCTGAAACCAATATCCAAAATTACGAGGTATGGTGCTGTGTGATTGGTAGTTTTCGAATTAGTATATTGCCGACATCTTTTCCGCTTCAGTAGTCCGCTCCGTCCTCCTTTATGGCTGTGAGTCATAGCCATTGAAATTGCTTCGTGCCCCTAAGTAGAAAGAGGAACCTGATATACGCTCTTTCCTCTAGGATTCGGAAGATATGCAGCGAGAAAGTGATTGAACAAGTCCAATCCGTCCCAAAGAAAATACTTCTGCTTAATCTAGAATTCAAAGGTGATACTGAAGCGGAAATCCTTCGCAAACGTCTTTTTAAATCGCTGAGGAAAACATACTTCGCCGCGAGCCTACGACTGACATTTTCCTGCAAGAAACTGTTCAGTCAGAGCGCGAAAGACAAGCTGTCGCATTGGGCCACTTCAACGTGCATATACCAGTTTACTTGCTCTTGTGGAGCTGAGTACATCGGCGGTACCATGCACCGACTTGAAAAACGTGCTCTTGAACACTATCCAGCCTGGTTAGTAAAAGGAGAACGAAAAGGTGTATATAGTTCAACGACAGAACATCTGGTCAATTCAGCGCCTTTCGAAAAATCCTTCAAATTAATATACAAGATTCAATCAAACTTATCAAAGGGAGTGAAATTAGGACATCTGGGCATAGCCGAGGCAGTGGCTATCCAAAAGCTCAAACCCACGCTATGTATCCAAAAGAAATATGTCCAACCCCCCTCCCTGCCATGGCCATCATAAACAGGTAAAATTTTTTTAGTAATGACAATCTCATCGCCTTTCTTATCTAAACTTCCTGTTTATTTTGTCATTTCACTATTTCTACATATTTAATCCCTGATTGCATAAAACATAATTCATCACATTAGTTTTTTATCCAAACATCCTGTCTATTTTGTTATTTCTACATTTCTAAACCCCAATAGCACAATGTCAATCTTCTCAGTAATAATGATGCTACTTTGCTTGAGTTTTATCCGTCACCCTCCCCTGTTTATTATGGCATTTTAATTCCTCATTGTAATTTTACTAATTTGACTCTTAACCGGAAATTATTCTGGAACTTTCTCATCCATTTGTTATAAATACACGAATATTCAGCCTAGATGATGACTTCGTCGAAAAGAAAATTTTCTTCGCTGCAACTGTCTTCTTATATTGGAAGACATACAAAACCTAGTAGGCTAGCTGTCTGTGATCATAGGTGTCTCAGTTCTATCTCCCGTGTTAGGTGGTGATGTAATAGGTTAGTGAGCAATATTGACTTTAGGCATAAGTCGAGCACTAAGCAAGGAGAGGCTGTGAAGTTACATCGATTGAGATGGTTAGAACATGTGTGTAATGTACATATGCCTAGTCATCGCCTTCCTTGACAAACGGGCAATGTTAGCTGAAATAGGATGGATCAGGTTCGAAAAGGGCTAACATGTTGTAGTCAAAACAAAATATGACTTCATCAGTCAATGAAATCCACAACAGTTAGTTTAAGCCAGCCAGTCAGTCACGTAGGGATGTGTAGACTTCCTGGTTGGGGTCCTCGGGACGGTAGAAACCAATGGGGGTTGGAGACAATTGGTAATATGACTCAAAATCGTTCTCAATGGCTGGCGCAGTTAGATGCACCCACTCCTTGTGACTTATAGCACCCAATAAAGGTATACTGTACTTCAATATTACTATTCTTTTTGTCTATGTTTACTGTCTCTTTTTGGCATTTCATTTTACTTTCTTCTCTTGCTTTGTGTGCTACATGAAGAGAGTGTGGCGACTTGTACTGCTGCAAATCTGTGCAAAGTTCTACGTTGCAACAAGTCAGTCAGTCAATAAGTCAGTGAAGCCCTACATTCAACTTGGAAACCATGGGAATATCAGTAATAATAATAAATGTTAAGATTAGGAAGAAAAACTTCATGTAGTTTCATTCGTCAAATCATAATCCCAAAACAAGAAGTGATGACCATAGACACTGTTTTAACCTTTCCATAAAATTATATAATAATAAAAAATATATATTGTATATATTGTTTCCTTTAACTCCTAGAGAAACATAGGGCTTCAGCCGCGCGTCTACACGGATTTCGGTTCTCTGCTAGAGTCTTCACCTGGCTCCAAGTTTGCCCACATGCTTTCATCTCCGCTTCACATGACCTCATCCAAGTCACCCTTGCACTGACAACCAACTCGCCGCTGCCCTTTCGGCTTCCACTCGAGCAATGGTTTGTCTAGTGATGTCACTTGATGGTTTCCTCAAGAGTATGGCCAGCCAATCCATCTCCATTTCTTCCTGCCTATTTGTTTCACAATCCGTTCCTGCTATGTTGGTTCGCTCTCAGAGATCTCTTTTGCTGATCTTTTCTGGCCGGCCGTCTGATCTTGAGCGAAGTATTGAGCGAAGACAACTGTTAATGAACGTTTGTAGTTTGTTGGAGATGCCCTTTATGACGCGCTGGCCAAGTCTCTGATCCGTATAGTGAGTAGCACTGACTTCACATTGGAGTTGAAAATCCGGATGTTATTTTTGATGCTAAGTGTTGTTGACTTCCACACAGACTTGAGTGTAGTGAAAGCTTGTCTTGCTTTTCCGATTCTTGCTTTGATATCCTCGTCAGTTCCGTCTGCCTGTAGTTGAAACGATGCTTCCCAGGTAGATAAAAGAGGTTGTTTCTTTCAGGTTCCTCCCATTTATGCTGATTGTTGTCTGCCGTTGTTGTTGCTGTTGGTAATAAAAAATATATTACAAATAAAAAACTCATCTACGCACACAGAAAAAAATAAATAAATAAAACTCATTACTTCTAGATTTTTGAGTTAATTCACTTCGTTGTTTTTCTATTTCACTTTTTTGATATTCTGCTTCTTTGCGTAAGCTGATCAATTCAATACGTGTTGATTGTAACAATTTATCGATTTGTGTTTCAGCCTTATACTGACATTTTGTAGATTCTACAACGGTTTGACGATGATTTATCAATTCTGCGCGTAATTCATTCACCTCTTGAGTTAAAGCATTGATCTAACGTTTTTTGGAAATTAATAAAAGAAAAAGAGAGCAGGTGAAGTGTTTTCGCGCGCACAATATTGAGCAAACACCACTATAGATATTATAGCTTTGTAAAACGGTACCTGTATATCAACAACCAGTAAACACAGGTCATTCCCTTTCATTGATATAAGAATAAAACTTGTGCACTGTGGTAGAGTGTAATTCAATTATGGGTAAATTTATTTCAATAAAGTCTCACAGTGTTATGCAGTAATATTTACTGGTGACCACGCTTCGAGCACAATTTATCACTGCTGCTCATCATATCAAAGCACTACTTCCACAAGTTTTTCCTTCATTTATATACATGAGCGAAATTGGTGATTAGACATTTGAATAAAAATCATCATAGGATAAAGTACATTCAGAAATAATAATATGAGTGTTATCAATCAAATACAATCAGATAGGAAATAAGATGTCTTCATAGTCAAAATAAGTAGCTTGTTAGAATGTCATAATGTGAATAGAGTACGCTTTAACATCATTTATTATCCTCTGATTTAACTGGTGGTAATAAATATCTTCTATATCTCTAGTATTTGCATTGAGACACTTCTATTGCATGTGTTGGGTGATGAACCAACATTCAGCAATAAACTTTTCCCTGTCTTCACCTACCTATATTACTTCTTGAAATTTGAATCCTCTCCCAACCACCCTATTGTGTGGTTGTGTGTTAATGCATGCAGTACAATTGCTCCTAAACTTTTATCTAAGTTACTTAGCTTCGTGGGGTTAACCATTCTTACCTTAACTAAATTCTTATGCTTTGACAATCTGCCTACTACCGATCTACTAGTTTGACCTATGTAGTTGACTTAACTCACAGTCATTGCAAGGTATTTTGTAAATTATATTATTTTGTTTAATTGAGTCAACCGAGAGAGTCCTTTAACCTACAGAGCTTGTCCTTGAGTGAGTTTGTACATTTGAATGCCATCCTAATTCCGGCTTTGTTGACAATCCTACGTAGGGTCTCAGATGTCCCCTCCCTATATGCTATAAAAGTAGATGCGTTATATTCTCTCTTATGTCGGAACATAAGAATTTAGCTAAGGTACGAGTGATTGACCCCGAGAAGATAAGTAATTTAGAAAAAAGCTCACCGATTGCAATGCATGCATTAACACACAACCACACAATAGGGTGGGAGAGGGTTAAAATTCTAAAAAGTAATCTAGGTAGGTGGAGCGCGAGAGAGGTTGATTACTGAATCCTTGTTCATCGAATCTACACCCAACACATGCAATAGGAATGATTCATCACTCATACCCGAAATATGGAAAATACTACTACTAATCAAATCAAGTGAAAATCAAGTGAAAAACAACGGAATTATGTAAATGAATTTAAGGAGTCGTGTTATTACCTTGATATGATTATGAGCAGTAATAAATTGTGCTCGAAACGTCATCAGTAATCATTCCATTTCAACAAACGCTTCCTTCAAAGTCATCTGCAAAGTGAAAAATAATCTGCCAAGGTCAAACAATCTTTTATCTCTTCTGGGAAACGTATCCGGGAAGAAAATAGTATCTATGGATGTTACGTCCCTTTTCACTAATGCTCCTCTCATTGAAACTATTTGCTTTATAGGCAAATTCATTGAGGATAATAGTGTAGACATGAGTGTCCCGATACATTACTGAAAGGAGCTACTATTGAGGTGCACTTTTAATGTCCATTTCAAGTTCAACAGCACGCTTGAAAGACAATTAGATGAAGTGGCGATGGCGTCGTCATTGGGTACCCTAGTCGCGGACTGTTTCTTGGCAAGCTTACAGAATAGTATGCTAGACCCACTATCGATGTTTTCCACATATACCAAAGATACATGGATGGTACTTTGATCGTCTCTTCTGATCATTGCTGAAGCTTTAGCTATTGAGATAGAAAAATTGGAGCCATGAATACAAAAGAAAATTATTCAACAGCTTTTACTGTGATGGTAACAAGCTTGTTGATTTCTACTATCTTGATATTTGGTTACAGGATTCAACATGAGCTGACATCAGTTAGAGGACCATTGAAATACCTAGGAGTTGTGGACAGACGTTTCGTCCTAGTCTGGGACTTTTCATCAGTATGCACTCACCGCCACGACCTTCTGGTTACAATATCTTCTTTGATGAGTAATTGTCCTCACCTTAAACCTGTTGTTCCCTCCCTAATGGTCACGACTTCCCACTAAAACCTAGGTAACTACCTACCTGAATAAGACCAGTCGCTAGTAAGCATCAGATTAGTTTTCAAATATTGGTTTTTGTAAGGATTATTGTTTGATTGGTTGGAGAATATCATCATGAGCTGACATTGGTCATTAACTTATCTAATTACGTAGTTGTGATACACTTTCTTAATTCCTCTTATGCAATGACTAATATTAACTACTATGATTGTGAAAAATCACTACTTTTGTTACTACCGTAGAAAAAAGTGTATATAAATGCAACTGTACAGCTAAAGTGGAAAATAGATTCGCCTGAAGAGAGCCTCTTCATTGAACTATTTGTTTTGTTTTTCTTTGAGTAAAAAAGAAGAGGAATAATCGATAAGACACTTTTAAATCGACCAAACATAACATCTGATATAATTACAGCATTCCTCTGAGCCCGTAATACAAAATGGCATAAAACCAACTACAGCAAAGAGTTCGAATCATAATTGACCGCCTCTGTTCTATCCATTCGAAGAAGAAGGAAATGAAACGTTGGGGGGGGGGAGGGGTGTCTAAAATTATTTCAGTGATAACTTATATAGTCACCTAGTCATAAGAGTTTAAAGTCTTCTGCATATTAAGTATTGTTTTGTAGGGATTTCATTGAATGGTTACAGGATTTCATCATGAGCTGATATGTGTTAGAGAACTGGACAGCTGTTTCGTTAGCCTGGTTTCGGACTAACTCTTCAGCAGTACGCACTCACCGCCAGGGTTCCAACCAGAAACTGTTACTCGTCCTAACTGAGCAGTTTTGTGAGTAAAGAATTTGCCAGAGAACTATGATAACATGGATTCTGCCGATTTCTTGCATGAGTTCTAGTGTCTATCTATGACTACAAATCAACAGGTTGACTTTGCGCAGCTCTTGGTTACACTACTGACATCTCTCAGAGCTATTTGCAGTATAAAAGTCTTTTGTGAGTCATGCAGGAAAGAATAATGGAGAACAATAAGGAAGAAGAAGGGAGATGCGACCGTAGATAAATTTTAACATGTAGGTATTAGTCACTTGAAGGCAGTTGGCAGAAAGCCTTGGACCTAGATTTCGTGCTAGTAAACACTCACCAGTCAGCAAGGCAGGCGTATCTGCAACCTTTAAGAAACTCATGTCCCTTCTGATATTCGAACCCGCGTCATCCAGTGCTGCCTGCTGTCAGAGACGTTACCACTGAGCTATTCGGGCTCGCGACTGATCTCTTCTATAGATTTTTGTTTGATTGGACACTAGTCAGTAACTAGTGTGATGTGACTAGTCCTATCTTAGGTCAAACGCTTCCTGTCGATTGCCTCCAGCCATCTAATACCAATAATTCACAGTGCACTATGATGGCGAACCGCCTACCATAGTAGCCACATTGCAAATTTGACTGATAGAATTCAGAAGACAAGTAGTTCAGTGAAGAGTCTCTTTTCGCTGCCGAATTCATTTTCATAGCTGTACAATCGCAAATATATATGGTTGTTTTGTATGTGTGTGTACATTAAATTTGTCAAACGAAAATACAATTAGTAAGTTCAGATGAATTGGATGTTGATATAAGAGGATAGTGATGAGTTGTCACAAATGATTGTTAAAGAAGAGTTACATGATAACATGAATAGTTTGATGAAAGAGTTGTACTCAGGGTGTACATGGAAACAAAATATACGGAATTACACAAGGGTTTTAGGTAGAAAAATAAGCATACAAACAAAAGTTAAGTCAAATCAAACAAACAGACAAAGAAAAGTTAAGTCAAATCAACACAATTGTTACCATTGGAGTAGAAGTGGTTGAATAATTTTCTTTTGTATGCACAGTTCTGGTTCCTCTATCTCAATGGCTAGGACTTCTGCGATGCAAAGAAGACGGAATCGTACTGTCTTTGGAAGGTTATTCTTCACTTTGTAGATTATTTTGAAGGAGGAGGCGTTTGCTGAGATGGAATGACCAGTGTTGACGAGGTGTTCTATTATTGCACTCCTTATGCAGCCATTACTTCCTTTCTGCAGCCACGCTGGATAGTGTTCTTTGACCCTTTTTGACAGGATACGTGTTGAGGATCAGTCTGCACCAAGCAGAGGACTAGACACATTACGCTAGTTACTGACTAGCGTCCAGTCAGAAATATTGAATATTTAGCAATTCAATAAACTTCTGTGTTAGAAAGTCACGAGGAGGAATTTCCAGTGTTAGATTGCATCATAAAAACGAAATTAGATGAAAAGGTAAACACTAGTGTTTACAAATAACCTACATATACAAAGTAATATATGATTTTCAGTTCATCTCACCCCGTCTCAGTGCAAATAAGATTAAAGAAATGCTTTTAAGGAACCTGGTGAAATATCTAAGTAGTACCAAGGAAAATTTAAGACGAGAAATAAGGCATGTGAAAGAAATTTTGATACTGAAAAATTAATTCAGAAGTATGTAGGAAATCATAATGTTGCGAGTGCTACTGATTAGATTTATCAGTAGTATATAGAGAGATATTCATTAGCAGAAAAACATCAAATTGCAGGAAGATACAGTTGATTTCAGAGAACGCAAATGATACAGTATTGAGGAGGTAGAAACATGGGAGACGACGTGAAAGGAACACAAAGAAACACAATATGAAGTCGAAAAATACCAAAACACGAAGATCTGTGCAAATAGTGCGTTGAAGATAAGGTGTGAATAATTTGCCTATATAGAGATACCAGAGACAATTTAAGAACAATTTTCCAAGACTCCGTCTACTACCGTTCAAATAAGAATAATTTTAAGGTGTTGCCAAACAAAGAAGGGAATCTAAGAATTTACGCTGAATTCGCCCCTGTAAAATGTAAGATGCTGCTACACGACTGGACTACGTCTGCCCCTAGCTTAGTGATACGGAGTGAAGTAATAGAACATGTTCACCACTTCACCTATTTGGGAAGTTGTATCAGCACCAACGAATTGGTTGGTGACGAAATCTCAGCACGGATCCAAAGAGCTTGAGCTGCTTTCGCTAACTTACACCATCTCTGGCATAGGCGTGACATCCGACTATCAACCAAGGGACGTGTGTACTGCTCAGCAGTTCGCTCCATCCTTCTCTATGGCTCTGAAACATGGCCAATACGAGTTGAAGACCTGAGAAGGTTGACTGTTTCTGATCATAGATGTCTACGATCTCTTTCTCACGTTAGGTGGTATAATAAGGTAAGTAATGTTGACGTTAGGCGTAGAGTGTTGGACAAACAGGGAAAATTAATCGAAGAGGCTATAAAGTTACATAGATTGAGATGGCTAGGTCACGTGCTGCGCATGCCTAGCCATCGTCTCCCCCGACGGACGGGCATTACTAGCTGATATAGGTGCAGGCTGGAAAAGAGTAAGTGGTGGCCAAACAAAAACACGGCATCAATCAATCCATGAAATCCCTGACAGTTAAACTGAGTCAGGTAGGGAGATGCAGACTTCCGGGTTGGGGCCCACCCTCGGGACTCTAAGAATCAATGGCTGGAGACAATAGGTGACATGGCTCAAAATCGTTGTCAATGGCTTACGCAGATGTATTCAGTCTCTTGGGTAATCTTTCATATTCCTTTCTACCATTATTCATTCTGTTTCACTCTTATACTTATCTAAATTCTATTGATTCTCTTCTCTCATTTCCTGTCTACCTTTGTGTGCTATTTGGAAGGTGGCAACTCGAGCTGCTGCACTTCGGTGCCAAGTTCTATGTTGAATCCAGCAGCAGCAACGTTGAATTCTTAACAAAGCTGGAATAAAATTAAGCTAAAAACTCGCTTAAAAACAAATGACGTCATTTAAAGGATCCCGTGGAGACCATTAAACAATGATTGTGAATTAAAACACATATATCTAACTAGTAGAACAGGATCACTTAGACTAGCACAGCACAAAAATCCAACGAAATCTAAATGAGTAAACCCTAGTAAGATAAGAAACGCAGAAAAAAGTTCAGGAAGAGCACTACATACAGTTACGGCGGCCTGCTTAAAACTTGGGCTACCAAAAATTTCTATCTCTCTATTGCGAATATATTTTCTCTCTTTTGGTTTGTTTTAATCGATTAAGATATGACCTCTACTAATGGTACTATCTACTCTGATGTGTGTATTTAAAATGCTTAAAAGCTCCTGATTCACAAATTCCTACTAAACTTGAGGAATGGCCTGTGATTGTGGCTGTGGCAACATATTCCAATACGTGAGATACCTGTTCTTCAGTTATGTCCTTAGGTCTTAAAATGTACTTTTGAATATTTTACAATCGGCTTTCAACCAGATCTAGTTAATGTCGATATTGTGAATTTCTTGAAGGAGATATATCAGAAATATCATAATGAAATGGTTTTTGATTCACCTCAATCAATATTTTACTTTAAAATATGGTACAGAGGGAAAATATCATGCAATAAAATCCTCTGAAAATTCTGTACATTTTTATGAGTACTTTCCAGAATAAAGATATTATTATTACATTCAACCCCACAGTTGGATATGAAAACGTGACAGTTTTGAAATCTAATATAACTGGGTGGAGAAAGGGGTAGTTTGATAACTGAAGCCTTATTTTGTTGTGTCAGCTCGAAACATATGAGATAAGAATATGGTAACACCTTTTCCGGACATCTGGAAAATTCTAGTAGCCTTATGACAGTTGAGAAAGAAGGAAAAGAACCGGAAAAAATCAATTTTTGAAGTTGTATAGTTAAAACCAATGCTTTGATTATGAATAGTGAATTGTGTTTGAAAAGTTATCCAGTGAGTAATACTGCTTCACTGTGATCTTACCAATTAAAGTTAATATTGTGTAAATACAAACCATTACAATGCCCATGTCTACAATGTAAAACAATTTAAGTGTTCTGACTGATTAAAAATGCCCATTAAAGCTTTCAAAAGAATGGATACTGAACAAAGAAGACTCTTTTCGATAACCCCTTCATCATCAGGTTCTACAGCTATATATACATTATAGTGAATTAATGAATTAGTGTTATGAACGACATTAATGTTGTTTAAATAACATAGAATCAATAATATTGATAAATCACAGCTGAACAGCATCAACATAAAATAAACAGAATGTCAGAAGAATTAGGAAAGATACTATTACAAATTCATGCGTTTATAGTCTCTACTAAAGGTCGGTCAGGGCAGTAGTAGTGGCTAGCTGAGGTTGCTTCTTTTGAACACAGAGTACTGGTTGTTTGAGGCGAATTGCAATAGCCTCTGCTGTTCGGAGCATGCGGTGCTTCAATGATTTTGGCATTTTGTTATGCACCCGGCAAATTATAGAGAAGGATTCTTCTACGCTGGCTGTGTGACCCGTTTGCACCAGATGGTTCAATATCGAGCTGTTAATGGTTTTAACTACACCTTTACTTAGCCATAGTGAGATATGTTCTCGAGCACGAAAAATCAAGTTCCTAGAACAACGGCCAATATAACTCGCTCCAACACAAGCGCATTTGAATTGATAGATAGAATTTGAAGTGGCTAGTCTAGTCTAGGTACTTCATCTTTCAATCGAGGAATCACCATCAGTCGTGTAGAGAATAATACGTGTACTTAACCAGCATTAAAAGTTCTTTGAACTGATTTTCTTTATTTCTTTGTAATTATCTCGCTTGGTATATCGCCCATGAATTGTAGTCGTATATAAAGTGGCTTCTTGTTTACAGACAGTGAGTAGTCCTTTTCCGCTTTCTTTGTCATGTGCTTCTGGATAAATTTGTCGCGATAGCCATTTTGATTGATTTGTAGATAGATTACGAACTGATATCAGTAAAATATACACTGAAATTCAGGGGTTACTGTGCAACTGTTTAATCCTATGGTCACGGACCCGATGGTAGAATGCTCCACAGCCAGATGGGAGGTCCACTTTCAACTACCAGCCAACGATCTCCTTAACTAAACTTACCTGCTAGCGAGCTCGAGGACGACAGACAGTTGAGCGTGTGACTAGCAACCATACCCTGTGAAATTGTGGTGACAGCTGACTCCTAGCCAAAGTTGGTAGACAGTAATTTACGTCAATGTTTATGTCCCCAATACTGGTCGTGAGAAAAATGAGAACAAAGACTTTGCGTGGGCGGGTACAGTTAGCATATAGATGATTTGACATTCAAGAAACAGTCACAAAGAGATGAAAGATTAACTTTCAATGAGAAACAACCAATCAGAAGACTGTGTTTGTTTGCTTACAATAATCTATAATAATGTACATGACAATATATATACATATGTGTTGATTTCCTAAATAAACGATCTGTTACCTGGCCCTTGTCTTCTGTTGTTACAAAATAACCTAACCTCTTCAGGTGCGTCGGTGGCACAGTGGTTAGGACTCTCGCCGACCATGCACATGGTCCGGGGTTCGATCCCCTGCCAACGCACACCCGATATCTATGGTCGGCCTGTAAATTTGGGCTACCGATATCCATGCTGAAAATTCCATACTTGTACTGAAAATACGGTGTGGAATCAAGCTGTAATCAAAATAAATAAAATAAAATAAAGGTGAAACTTGAAAGCTCAAGCCTGAAACCCTGTGTTACACTTAGAATTCAAGAAACTAAAAATAACAAAAAAAATATACTTTGGAATAATAAAGAAGATTCTCAGTTCAAGTGGATGATTTTGATGTGGTTGTGCTCTGTAAGTTGGATGAAGCTTTAATTACGAAGTTTCCATTGTCTTCCTAGACAGCAACTTCAGCGCAAACTTGAGTATGAAGTATGAAGCTATCAGAGATGACCTTAGGTTGGAAGATATTTGGAAGTGATATTTGAAGCAACAGTTATGGATTGCTAATTAACCTGCCTCAAAGCCTAGGATAAAAAGTAATCCATGGAATCGCCGTTTCACTTCATACTGAAGTTTGTCGCCTAGAAAGATTATCAAAAGCTTTTCAATTAAACCCTCGAGGTCAGAGGGAATACATTCACATGGAAAAGTATGCCTTATCGTGTTAACCGTTACATCGTTAACCAAAAGGTAAAACGGCATCAATTTTAACTAATCGACAACAACAACAACAACAAATGCTTACATGATTCTTTTGTGTTGAACAGACTGCTTCAAGTTCCATATTCTTGGCTTTAAGTTCACTGCACAGCTGCAGTTGATCCTCATTTTCTAATTGTATCTGTTCTCTGAAATAACGAGAATGGCAAAGGAGAAATAAATGTGGTAAGTAAGTAGTTTTAACAACCAATTTATAGCTTTTATCACCTACCCGGGAAGCCTCGTTTCAAATACAGGCGCACGCAACTGGTGAGGATATCAAAGCGGCGAGGATCGGGAAAGCAAGACAAGCTTTTATCAGTCTCAAGTCTGTATGGAGATCAACAGCACTATTCAGCATAAAAAATAAGATCTGGATTTTCAACTCCTATGTGAAGCCAGAGAGTTGGCGCCGTGCCACAAAGGCCACTTCGAACAAACTACAGAACTCTCTGGTAATGAACGGACCAACTCAGCAAGAACCAACTGCTCAACAAATATGCAGGAAGAAATGGCGGTAGGTGGATTGGAAGCCATACTCTGAGAAAACAAACCATCAATTGAGTGATATCACACGCCAGGCCATCGCTCGAGTGGAACACGAATGGGAAGCGGTGGGTTAGTTGATGATCAGTGCGAGGATGACATGTAATGGAGGAGGTCATGTGTAGAGGAGATGAAAGTATGTGGGCAAAGGTGGAGCTAGGTGAAAACGTAGGCGGAGAACAGAATTCAATGAAGATGTCTGGCTGAAGCCCAGTGTTCCTCTAGGAACTAAAGGAAATAATAATAATATTACTTTTATGATGTAATAACATCTTCCGATTCAGTATACGATGAAATCCTAAAACACTATCAATTATAAATGACACAATGACAATGGATTCGAAACCCATAACCCAGTGCAAAATTCACAGAATGAATTTCCAAAGAAGTACAATACTTCAAGCTACCGCTCTCAATGTAGCTCACAAAGTTAGAGGAAAGAGAGAAGAAAGAGATTCAGAAAAAACTACAATGTTTAGAAATATACGGAAGGAAGAATAATATTGTAACAACAGAAGACAAGGGTCAGGCAACAGATCGTTTATTCAGAAAATCAACAAATATTTATAGATTTCAAAGTTAATTATTATTAGCGTTATTGTTAGCAGGGAAGCAACATTTTCTGATTGGTTGTTTTCTTGCTCAAGGTTACTCTGTCGTCTCTTTGTGACCGTTTTTAAGAAAGTCAGAACATATATCTGCGAATTGTATCCGCCCACGCAAAGTCTGCTGTGATTGGTTGTTGAGTTCCTCAAGGTTAAGCTTTGCTCTTGTTTTTTCTCATGACCCCGATTCGGGACGTAAACATCAACGTAAATTAATGTCTACCAATTTTGGCTAACAGGTAGCTCTCACCACAGTATCATGGAGAAACATGTGGATTCAACCGATCTGGAACATTACAAACAGTCAATGCATTGGCGCCACTGAGGATGATTTTGAGCTATATCAACAATAGTCTTAAACCATTGCTTCTTATCATCCCAAAAGTTCCAGTATGGCAGTCTGCACCTCACCATATGACCCAAACCAACTGTTTTCGACTTCACAGACTGATTTTATGTTTTGTTTTGACTTAGTAGATATACCGTTGGGTGCGTAATCCACAGGAGTCACTGTTTTGAAATCCTGAGACTATCCTGAAACAAGTTTCTATTTATAAATCACAAAATAATCGAGCAAAGAATATTCTTTTCGATAAATTCCTCTTCCAGGCTCTACAATTATATATGCATGTTTATATACACAGAATATTCTAGATTAGTAGTTAATAACAATATTGGTGTGTTTTTTAAATAATATCGATTTTTAAAGTATGATCAATGGGATTACAGTTCTTTAAAGATGCTCTTATTATGATAATAATAATAAAGATATAACAGCGAATAGAATATCAACTGAAATTAGGGAAATTCCACAAAAGTTTCGGATTATTCAAACCTGCATGGTCAAGGTAGTGATAATGTCTGAACTGACTTCTTTTGGATGCATAAATTAGGCTTGTTAATATGAATCCCCACAGCCTCAGCAATATTTAGAAGTCGAACTCTTAAAGCGAAATTGAGATTCATAGGTATGCGGTAAATGACCCTGAAAGCATGATTAACGTCAATCTTGTGTTCTGTCTCCACAAGATGAGCCAGAATAGCGCTGCGAATAGATTTTGTTTGACCTTTGCTTAACCAAGCAGGGTGATGTTCGGAAATTCGACGCGAAACACGCCTAATTGTACGGCCTATATAACTGGCTCCACAGGAGCAATTAAATTGGTATATACAATGACATAAAGGATACAAAACGAGACAATAACACGCATACTGACCTTTCTTTTGATAGATTGCTTTTAATCAATTCAAGTTGATTGCTAAGTTCATCACACTTAGCTTGTAATTGTGCATTTTGTAAAAGTATCTTCTTATCTTCATTAGTATTGACTAAGGATAATTGATTAATCTCTGTGTTTTGGTCGTCTTTAATTTTCTGGAGGCTTGAAATCTGTTTTATTCACGAAAAAGAAACAAACAAACAAACAAATGACACAAGGTTATTAAGTGTGTGTGTGTAAAACTTGAACACTGGAATATTGATTATTATTATTATTATTATTATTATTGTTCCCTTGGATTCCAAATGGAACATATAGGGCTTCAACAACACACCTTCCAATTTGTTCTGTTTTCTGCTGTCGTCTTCAGCTGGCTAGCTCCACGACTGACCGTAATCTCTCACCTCCTCCTCCTTCTCCTCGACATACGATCTCCTCCATGTCACTTTCGAGTTGACTGCCCACTAGTCCGTCGATTCCCATTTGGATTCCACTCGAGCAATGGCCTGCAATGACAACGATGTCATTCGATGGACACTGTGGTAGTATATAGAGCCATATTAATTTGTTTATTGGATATATCACTTAGTCAGGAGAACAGTATTATTATTATTTACTGGATGACAATATTTCGAACACAATTTATTTATTGTTCATAATCAAATCAGTTGTAACTACACAACTTTGAGCCTTTCGTAGAAGCGGTAGTAGAACTTTCCAGATGTCTGGTTGGACAGATGTTGAACCATTCCTATTACACGTATTCTCTTCAGTTGATTCGACAAATAACGCTTCCGTCATCAATCTCTCCCTCCAATATTGTTACATTAGATTTTAAAACTGTCATCTTATCCAATCATCCTATTGTATGGTTATGTGTAATTGTATGTAGTGAATGCTATTACTGAACTATTCTCCAGATTTCCTAACTTACTAGGGTCAGCCAACCTAGAAGAAAACTCGCAAACCTTACGCAGAATTCTTAACAAAGCAGGATTAAAAGTGGCTGGCATTCAAACCCACAAACTCAATTAGAAACAAGTTTTGTCGGTTAAAGGATCAATCCTGTGGAGCCAATTAAACAAAACAATTCAGTTTATCTAATACACTGTCTGCAGTGATTGTCAGGTCAAATACATAGGTCAAATTAGTAGAACAGGGGCAGTCAGACTAGCCAAACATAAAAATCTACCAAAATCTAGATTAGTTGATCCGAATAAGATAGGAAATCTAGAGAATAGTTCAGCTTTGGCACTCACTACAGGCAATTATACACGAAAGTACAATACACTAATAGTTAAGATGACAGTTTTAAAATCTAATGTAACAAGGGTGGAGGGAGAGATTGATGACGGAAGCATTATTTATCGAATCAACTGAAGAGGATACGTATAATAGGACTGATTCAACACCTGTTCACCCAGATATGGGAAAAATTCTTCTACTCCAACGATAGCAAATAGGAAAGAACAAAGAAAACTTTAAAACTCAAGTTTCGAAGTCGTGTGATGAAAATTGATATGATTACTAAGACTGGATTGTGTCCGAACTTAGTCATCCAGTAAATAATACTGTTCCAGGCGAAACATGATATCCTCTGCTGCTTGCAGTATGCAGTACCTGGATGTTTTTCGCAATTTGTTTGGTACCCGGTGGATGATAGAGAAGGATTCTTCAATGCTGCCTGGCTTTGTGGTCGGTTTGGATTAGATGGTCTAATATCTAGCTGTTGACAGTTTTTACTACACCTTATCTCAGCCATACTGGGAGATGTTCCTGAAAGAGCACGAAAAATCAAGTTCCTAGAGCAACGGCCAATATAACTTGCTCCACCGAAAGCGCAGTTGAATTGGTAGATACAATTTGAAGTGGCTAGCGAGTCTAGGTACTTCATCTTTCAGTTGAGGAATCACCATCGGTTGTGTAGAAAACAAGACTTGTAGTTTACCAGCATTAGAAGTTCTTTGAACTGATTTTCTTAACTTCTTCGTAATTATTTCGCTAGGTAAATCGCCCTTGAATTGCAGTCGTATGTATAAAGGCTTCTTGTTTACGGATAGTGAAAAGTCCTTTCCAACATTCCTAGTCATATGTTTCCTGATGAATTTGTCTGGATAGCTATTTTCAATCAAGGTACCATAAACAATCCTTAGTTCATCTTCAGTTACTTCTTCTGATCATATAGCTGTAACCCTGTGGCTGAGGGTCTTTACTAAATTTCTTTTGTACTAAAGAGGAACGAAGCTATGAAAATGTATGTATTGTCCTGTCTATGTGCTTTTCCTATGCAAATTTCTCTTTATGCAACCATCTGGTTTTCTTGTAAGGAGAACGGACATCTAGGATGGCAGTTAATTCTATTTTGGGATTCCTCTTCTCACGTGAATTTCATAGTAGAATGTACTTCATTAAAATTAAGTTATTATTATGCTCCTATTGGAATCATCATCACAAAGAATAAAGGTGTCATCCATGTACCGACAATAAAATGAGAATATTCTAATCATTTGTGCGTCGGTGGCACAGCGGTTAGGACTCTCACCGACCATGCACATGGTCCGGGGTTCGATTCCCTGCCGACGCACACCTGATATCTATGGTCGGCCTTCAAAATTTGGGCTACCGATATCCATGCTGAAAATACCATACTTGTACTGAAAATACGGTGTGGCAACAAGCTGTAATCAAAAATATAAAAAAATAAATAAAAGAATTTTATTCAAAGGTCCACCATACATTTTATGTTTCCTTTCTTAATTGCTGTTTATGATATGTCAAGTAGATTACACACAGACTGCGATTTGCATAATTAAGGTTTCCAAAGTGGAAACTGTTAGACACTAACCCATCAAGGCTGATAAAACCATTTGCAATTAAGCAAAATGTTAAGTGTACTCAATGTAGTCCCCCTCTCTCTTCCTCTCAAGTATAACAGAGTATCATCTCTGTACCCAGTGTCCATTGGTCCACCATGAAGTCAACACACTGAGTACACTTGAAATGTGACGTCTGAAAAACGGTTTTAAATGACCAGGTATGCTTTTTCGAAAGTTGAGATAATTATTGTAGGCTAATAATCTAAACAAAGAGTAAAATGGTTTACATTTGTTCCAAGTTTTGTCACAGATTGATATTAGTTAGAGAACCATCAAAAACCAGAGAGTACTCGACAGGCGTTTCGTCCTAGTTTGCGACTCTTTGACTGTATGCACCCACCGGGGTTCACAGGTTGACTATTGAATATAGCCCCTGGGATGGGATAGTCTACAATCCTGCCTTTTAACTTGAAGGCCTTGGGTTTGAATTCTGAAGGGCGCGTGCCTCTGAAGAGTCCGAAACTAGGACGAAACACCTGTCCAGTACGCCCTGCTAGTTTTCTATAGTTCTCTAACTGATATCAATCCCTGATAAAACTCGAGAAAAAAAAAGTTAAATCCCTTAAAATTAGCTCTTGGTATAAATTTATTGATAAAAGGGCGGAGTGAAAATTTAGCAGATAATAAACAATAAAGTTGATTGTTATTAGAAAAGCTGGCTATCTGTACATCAGTCAGTGTTTTCCGAGTGCCTACAGTATGAATAGAAAATTTCAAAACATTTTTTATTTATTTCACCAATCAAAAATAAAATTTTCAAACTTTTGTTTTTCTGGGATTCGATTGATTTCAAGTTATGTTGCGAAATGAACTATTGAAAGCTAGTGAGTACTGGAGAGATGTTTCGTCCTAGTTTGAGACTCTTCAACAATACTCAACGATATCTTCATCAGGGGACAGACTGAAGACATTCCGTATCACGAGGCGACGCTGTTGACCATTTAACCAGTGGGATGGGGTCTGATGACGCATAAGTTCGAACTCCTGACAATTTGCCAGCCATAGAGGACATAGAGGATATCGCTGGTCATGACTTCTCACTAGAACTCTAGGCAGCTTCATCTTGTAGTCAGTAACTAGCGAGTATTAGATGAGTGTTTACTGCTTAAGAGATACAAGTTAAGAGGTAATGGCTGCCTAGTACTCCCCGGTGGTTTTCGCAGGGTTTTTTTTCAACTTATGTCAGTTTGTCAGTTAACTTGAAATAACCAATGAAAGTTCTAGATCACTTCACCTCAACTAATTTCAACCTGAAATTGCGTTACCACAGGTATAATTCACTTACAGAGTATGGCAAACCGTAGTAATACTATCGTGTAATTCGTAATTATGCTTTGATTGGACACTAGTCAGTAACTAGTGTAATGTGTGTCCGGCTCTTTGTTTGGTGCAGACTGAATTCTATCAGTCAAGTTTTGCAATGTGGTCGCCATTGTGGGTGGCTCACCTTTACGATACACTGTGAATTGTTAACATTAGATGGTTGAAGGCAGTCGTTAGGAAGCCTTAGATCCAGGTTTCGGGCTTGCTTGAACTCGTCAGCAAGGCAAACGTATCATCAATCTTGAAACAACTCATATCTCCTCTGATATTCAAACCAGCGTCTCCCAGTGATACAGTCAGAGACACTACCCCTAAGCTATTCGGCCTCATGACTGACCTCCTGATAGACTAACCGGATACTTTGATTCTTAGATATAAAGTAGTAGGTTAATCACAAAACGCCCGGAGATTCGAAGCCTGAAATCTGTCCCATCTTCCGCGTTTTGGTTTGCCTAAATAATAACATTATCTTTCACACAATTGTTATTACTATTGTTTTATTTAATTCCTAGAGGAACATAGGGCTTCAGCCGTACGTCTCCATTGCGTTCGGTTCTCTGCTAGAGTCTTCACCTGGCTCCAAGTCTGCCCACACGTTTTCATCTCCTCTTCACATCACCTCCTCCAAGTCACCCACCCTCGCACTGACGACCAACTCGCCGCTTCCCTTTCGGGCTCCACTCGAGCGATGGCTTGTCTAGTGATGTCACTTGATGGTTTCCTCAGAGTATGGCCAATCCATCTCAATTTCTTCCCGCCTATTTGTTTCACAATCGGTTCCTGCTGGGTTGGTTCGCTGATTGCCTGAGATCCCGCCCTGTTGCTGATCTTTTCTGGCCGGCCATCTGATCTTGAGTAGTATTGAGCGAAGACAGCTAGCTGTTGATGAAGGCCCGTAGTTTGTTTGAGATGCTCTTTATGACGCACCAAGTCTCTGATCCGTATGGTAAGTAGCACTGACTTCACATTGG